ACCTCCTTTAATCTCTCCCAACCCTTCCCAGGCCGACCCCTACCCCGCCTTCCCTCCACTACAGATTTATACGCTCTCGAAGTCATTCTGTTTTGTTCCATTCTCTCTACATGTCCGAACCACTTCAACAACCCCTCCTCAGCCCTCTGGATAATAGTTTTGGTAATCCCATACCTCCTAATTTCCGAACTATGAATTCTCTGCATTATATTCACACCACACATTGCCCTCAGACATGACATCTCCACTGCCTCCAGCCTTCTCCTCGTTGCAACTTTCATTACCCATGCTTCACACCCATACAAGAGTGTTGGTACAGCTATACTCTCATACATTCCCCTCTTTGCTTCCACGGACAAAGTTCTTTGTCTCCACAGACTCCTACGTGCATCACTCACTCTTCTCCCCTCATCAATTCTGTGATTCACCTCATCCTTCATAGACCCATCTGCTGAGACGTCCACTCCTAAATATCTGAATACATTCACCTCTTTCATACTCTTCCCCTCCAATCTGATATCCAATCTTTCATCACCTAATCTTTTTGTTATCCTCATAACCTTACTCTTTCCTATATTCTCTTTTAATTTTATTTTACATACCCTACCAAATTCATCCCTCAGCCTCTGCAACTTCTCTTCAGAATCTCCCAAAAGCACAGTGTCATCAGCAAAGAGCAATTGTGACAACTACTTTGTGTTTGATTCTTTATCATTTAACGCCACACCTCTTGCCTAGACCCTAGCATTCACTTCTCTTACAACCCCATCTATAAATATATTGAACAACCATGGTGACATCACACATCCTTGTCTAAGGTCTACTTTTACTGGAAAATAATCTCCCTCACTCCTTCATACTCTAACCTGAGCCTCACTATCGTCGTGAAAACTCCTCACTGCTTTCAGTAACCTACCTCCTATACCGTACACCTGCAACATCTGCCACATTTGCGCCCCTATCCACCCTGTCATATGCCTTTTCCAAATCCATAAATATCCTTATCTAAATACTGATCACTTATATGTTTCACTGTAAACACTTGGTCTACACCCCCTTTCCCTACCTTTCCTAAAGCCTCCTTGTTCATCTGCTATCCTACTCTCCGACTTTAAATAATAACTCTACCATACACTTTACCAGTTATACTCAACAGACTTATTCCCCTATAATTTTTGCACTCTCTTTTATCCCCTTTGCCTTTATACAAAGGAACTATGCATGCTCTCTGACAATCCCTAGGTACCTTACCCTCTTCCACACACGTATTAAATAATAGCACCAACCACTCCAAAACTATATCCCCTCCTGCTTTTAACATTCTATCTTTATCCCATCAATCCCAGCTGCCTTACCCCCTTTCATTCTACCCACTGCCTCACTAACATCCCCCCCACACTCACAACTGGCTCTTCCTCACTCCTACAAGACGTTATTCCTCCTTGCCCTATAAACGAAATCACAGCTTCGCTATCTTCATCAACATTTAACAATTCCACAAAATATTCCCTCCATCTTCCCGATACCTCTAACTCTCATATATATATATATATATATATATAATATATATATATATATATATATATATATATATATATATATATATATATATAATAGTCGTGCCGAATAGGCAGAACTTGCCATCTTGGCTTAAATAATAGCAACGCTCATCTTGCCATATAGGGCAAGTGAAAATTTGTGTATGCAATAATTTCGCCAAAATCATTCTGAACCTAACGAAAAAAATATTTTTGATTGTGTTTGTTTAGTATTAAATTATTGTAAACAAATCTAAAATGTATTTAGTTGGGTTAGGCTAAAATAAATTGCTCTTGTTATGATAAGGTTAGGTAAGCTTTCTAAGATTCTTTTGGTACAAAATTAAAAATTTTTACATTAACATTAATGAAAAAAGTATATATTTAAACGTATAAGAGAAAATTTTAGAAAGGACTTAATTTTAAATGAGTTCTTGCTAATTGACCAGTTTTACATATTCGGCACGACATATATATATATATATATATATATATATATATATATATATATATATATATATATATATATATATAATAGTGTGTGTGTGTGTGTGTGTGTGTGTGTGTGTGTGTGTGTGTGTGTGTGTGTGTGTGTGTCGTGCCGAATATGTAAAACTTGCGATCTTGGCTTAAATAGCAACGCTCATCTTGCCTTATATATAAGTCAAACGGAAATTTGTGTATGCAATAATTTAGCAAAAATCATCCTGAACCTAACGAGGAAAATATATTCCATTGTGTTTGTTTATTATCAAATTATTGTAAACGTATCTAAAATATATTTAGTTGGATTAGGCTAAAATAAATTGCGCTTGTTATAATAAGGTTAGGTAAGTTTTCTAAGATTCTTTTGGTGCAAAATTATATTTTTTTACATTAACATTAATGAAAAAATATATCTATAAACGTGTAAGAGAAAATTTTAGAAAGGACTTAATTTTAAATCAGTTCTTACTAATTGACCAGTTTTACCTATTAAGCACGACATATAATATATATATATATATATATATATATATATATATATATATATATATATATATATATATATATATATATATGTCGTGCCGAATAGGCAGAACTTGCGATCTTGGCTTAAATAGCAACGCTCATCTTGCCATATAGGACAAGTGAAAATTTGTGTATGCAATAATTTCGTCAAAATCATTCTGAACCTAACGAAAAAAATATATTTCACTGTGTTTGTTTAGTATTAAATTATTGTAAACAAATCTAAAATATATTTAGTTGGGTTAGGCTAAAATAAATTGTTCTTGTTATAATAAGGTTAGGTAAGTTTTCTAAGTTCCTTTTGGTGCAAAATTATAAATTTTTACATCAACATTAATGAAAAAATATATCTTTAAACGTATAAGAGAAAATTTTAGAAAGGACTTAATTTTAAATGAGTTCTTGCTAATTGACCAGTTTTACATATTCGGCACGACATATATATATATATATTATATATATATATATAATATATATATATATATATATAAATAATATATATATATATAATAAACACACACACACACACACAAATGTTTACCTTATATTCGATTTCTCGTACTTACCTTTCTATCACACTTTACACATAATTATTTTGTAATGAAATAGACAAATTTTAGTATCTTTGCTTTACTTATTCTGATAAAAGATTCTTGAAGAACACATGCACACATACCTGGAGGTTACCTGGAGGTTATTTCGGGGATCAACGCCCCCGCGGCCCGGTCCATGACCAGGCCTTCCGATGGATCAGGGCTTGCTCAACTAGGCTGTTACTGCTGGCCGCACGCAGTCCTACGTACGAGCCACAGCCCGGCTGATCCGGCACTGACTTTACGTATCTGTCCAACTCTCTCTTGAAGGCAGCCAGGGGTTTATTGGCAATTCCCCTAATGCTTGATGGGAGGCTGTTGAACAGTCTTGGACCCCGGACACCTAGGGTGTTTTCCCTTAGTGTACCAATGGCGCTCCTACTTTTAATTGTGGGCATTTTGCATCGCTTGCCCAGTCTTTTACTTTCGTAGGGAGTGATTTCTGGGTGCAGATTTGGGACCATTCCTTCCAGGATTTTCCAAGTGTAGATTATGATATATCTCTCTCCTGCGTTCCAACGAGTACAAGTCAAGTGCTTCCAAGCATTCCCAGTAGTTAAGGTGCTTGACAGAACTTATACGTGCAGTAAAGGATCTCTGTACACTCTCTAGATCTGCGATTTCACCTGCTTTGAATGGAGATGTTAATGTACAGCAGTATTCCAGCCTAGAGAGAACAAGTGATTTGAAAAAGATCATCATTGGCTTGGCATCTCTCGTTTTGAACGTTCTCATTATCCATCCTATCATTTTCTTTGCACGTGCGATCGTTGTACTGTTGTGATCCTTGAAAGTGAGATCCTCAGACATTACTACTCACAGGTCCCTTACATTATTTTTCCGCTCTGTTGTATGGCCAGAGTGTCTTTGCATAGCAATTTTTAAATGTTTATTATTTTTTTTTTTTTGCCTCAACCCCGCTACTCTCCTGGTAGTCTTTGCTGTTCATCTGGTGTTTGAGTTCACGTAACTTTTTCTAACCGAACATTTGCAAGTAATCTCAACGCGACAGTGCAACAGTGAACAGCAGTCCAACACACTCATGGCCAAATTATACACTCATGATATGCAATAATGACAAGTTGATGAATAAGGTACATTTGCAATAGTTGGGTATCATTACTGTAATGAAGATGCTGAAGTGATGCACATGTGTCGTATTCATCACACTTTTGAAAATACTTTTTTTTTTCTAGCCCAGCAGCAACCAGCATTTTGTTTTTTTTATTTTCGCAACTAATTAATATTGTATTCCTCAAGCAGTCCACTAGATATTATTAAGGCCAAAGTAACTCTTGAGTTGTTGACACAATGAACACAACACAAAAACCATCTCGTTCACCTTTTACCGTCTGGCAATATTGTTGTTAACACAGTGTTATTAACACCAGAGTTATTGTCTTGCAGTGTTATTAACACCAGAGTTATTATTTTGCAGTTATTAATACAGGAGTTACTGTATGGCAGTGTTATTAACACAGAAGTTACTGTCTGATTGTGTTGTTAAGAAAGGAGTTACTATCTGGCAGTGTTAATAATGTAAGAGTTACTGTATGTTCGTGTTATTAACACAGGAGGTACTATCTGGAAGTGTTATTAACACAGAAATTACTGTATGACAGTGTTATTTACACAGGATTACTGTCTTGCCTTATTGTCTGAACACTTGACGAATCTCGACAAATATTCTCGCTCGTTAGCTTCCTTCAATGGTACAATCTTCTTTTTTCTAATAATATAAAATTCTTCTTTTTAACTATTCCAGCTATTGCCTTTCCGGGTATAATTTGTCTGCGTTTATTACGTGGTAATCTTTGTTCTCGGCTATACCTGCGGCTTGTGAGTGTGCGAGTCTTACCTGTTAGTCCAGTGAGGCCGCCCAGTCCGCCCAGTGCTGCCAAGTTGGGGTCAGGTACGGGCGTGGGGTCAGGTGCAGCTGATCTCCGTCTGATCGCCCACGACACTGGCACACCCGTCACCATCACTAGTAAAGTCATCCAACACACCCACTCACTCCTCACGCCCATGGCTAAGGTGTGGGTGGGGTTCTCAAGGCACCTATTAACTTAGGGTAATTTCTCACACTTATGACTAGTTGGTCACCGCGTCACTGGGCTCTTACTTATCGATGCCAACATTTATTAAATCGTATCAGAGTTAAAATAACATGAATCAAAACTAATCATAATACTGATTATAATATATATAACCTCTCATTATCATCACTGATTAAAATTCCTTGAACATCGAAATTCGTTGCATATGTTTTATCTTTTTTTTTAGCACTTATCCTTTCGCTTTCACAAGACACTCGTGGCAAGTGCTGGAGAGCAGCTGCAGCACCTCACCACCTCCTCCTCTGATGCTCCTAAGACAACTGGCCATCGCTTAATCTTGGAACCCAAGCAGGAATTGCTGAGTCCTCCTTAAAGAAAACGGTTGGGGGAGTGAGAGGAAAGGATTTGCTTGTTGAAGGGGATACCAAATTGTCGTCAGTGTTTAGTTTAGTATATTATGCACCCTATACCCATCCTGTGGGCGGTATGCAAAAAGATTAGAGGTACATAATGGGTCCAGGGACTGGACAATGGGCATATGCCATAATTTAAAGTTATATCTGATTACTTATTTTTATACTGACTAAAAATATTGTGATTATTATTTTATTATGTAGGCTGAGTAGGAGCAGTTTTCACCTAGCCTCTTTGCCAGTTGTTACGCCAGAGGCTACGGATTCGAGGACGCACTTTTACATAGGGAAGGATTATAGCGTTCCTTTCTGTTAAGATCAAGAGAGAGAACACTTGAATTAGAAGGGGGCATTTAAAAGTTGTTCTTCGCCATTTAAATGTTATGCTACTGTATTCATGCTTCGAAGTGCCACTTATTACCATTTTCTTATAAGCAACATCAGTTAAGAAAACAAAGTTGATTAGAGGCATAAACTGGCAATGTTCATTTTTATTAAACGCTAATTTATATTTTTTATAAAATCTTGAAACAGAAAGTAAAATTACTTACTGGAGAGATCTTTCCAAATGTTCAGCATCCCAACATGCAAGACAACGTTTTCTGTGAAACTTACTTGAATTGTAACTTCATTCCCTTCTGTTTCCTTAACTGTAACAACATAAATATCCGAAGACAATATTGGTGTCTAGGAAAATATTACGTTCTGATTAATTTTATTTTGTTAGGTAAATGAACACAGATGCAACTAATGTGATATTTTATTGTGGAAACGTTTCGCTCTCCAGGAGCTTTGTCAATTCGTTACGTAACTGCTTGGTAAATATAACCAAGAACGAGTATAAAATAGTGGCAGGAGTCAGCTGCAATAGGGGAGTAGTAGACTCAGCAGTAGTAGTAGTAGTAATAATAATGATAGTAGTAGTAGTAATAACAATAATAATAGAAGTAGTACAGCTGTGGTGAGATGGGTTTGATGATGCTGACAGGGCCTTCTCAAACCCAACCCATCTTACCACATTTGTACTACTACTACCCTCTCCAGCGTACCGCCAGACTCCTGCCACTGTATATATACTAATTTTTAGTTACTTCTGTATCATCCACTATTCATTCCCTAGAACCTCCTGAGTCACTCGGGACTGCCGAGTGCCGGGAGTAGCACAAGCGGAGCAGAGCTTATGAGTGTTGAGGGGCACTTACGCCTCATACTAGCGAGAACACCGCCCTGACTCTTGCACCAGCACCTCTGGTACTCCCTGCGAGCTCTGCGTGAGTGGGGAAGGTGAGTTGGAGATGACTTACACCGTTGTACACACCAGACCCAAGACACCACTTGAAAGGAAGACGTACTGTGTTCCAGCTACAGGGCGTCTGCGACGATTGTAGCTAACTGCTACACCACTTGTGATGAAGAAGATTCACTGTGCCCCCGTCATAGGGCTGTAAACAGTACTCCACCTGACCTGACTCACCATACCACTGTCATAGGGCTGCCCCTTGATATAGGGCTGTAAACGGTACTCACCTGACAGTGAAGATTCACTGTGCCTGTGCACAGGGTTGTAAACGGTACATCACTTGTACAGTTTCGACACTCCTTCGGGAGCCAGTTACAGGTCGCCATCTGGTAGAGACCCGTACCTGGACTCCGTTCTTGGCAAATATTTATGTATTTATTAGGACTAAAGAAGTCACTCGTCGCGAAGCGTTTCCTTCCTGAACTGTATATGACTTTTTTCCACAATACAGAGAAGAATGGTGGAAGATGAGGAGCTTGAGGAAATCAGCCCTTCAGTACGTGTAAGTTAAACGTGCTTAGTATGGGCCAGTAGGTGTGCTGCAGTGCTCCTTTTTTCCTTCTTATATTTCCATGGATTATAGGAAAACAATATTTAATCACAATTCTTTATTTTTTAAACTCGGGGACTACCTATAAGCATGCCTACTCGTGTGGGACATCTGTTGATGACACTGACTCGGTTTAGCTCATCAATCCTATTAGAACTCCTCGGGTTCCTCCTCGGCCTCATCAGTTGAATCGAGGCCCACTTCTTCGTAGTCCTTTTCGAGAGCAGCCAAGTCTTCACGTGCCTCTGAAAACTCTCCCTCCTCCATACCCTCGCCCACATACCTGCCGGAAATTTGTCTTTTTTAGTGTCGGGGGGAAAAAAAGCTGGCAAAAAAATGACAAAACTATTACACCAACTCGGATCACTACTGGAGTGGAGGCACAGTCAGTGACCTCCACTCCAGAGCAATAGATATTAGTGCCAGCAAAAAAAGTCCTCCTACATACCATCAATACGACAACATTTACTTTTGCAAATATAAAGGGTCTAAAGCCATCAATAAACAACAAAATGCATTTCATCAGTGGACTGTTCACAGAGTCAAATGCAATGTTTGCAGATTTCACAGACCCACATAAAAGATCGCTTTGACAACGAAACATGGATTCCAGGTTATAACTTATTCAGATGCGATGAAATAAACAGACAACAAGATGGGATTGTCCTGTATATCACAGTAAGTTAGTTTAATATCTTTATTATGCACCCCATACCCATCCTGTGGGCGGTAGTCAAAAGATTACAAAGGTACATAATGGGTCCAGGGACTGGACCCCAAAGTTATAATAGCTGAACTAGTTACAAAGGTAATGAACTCCAGGTAGATCTGGTCACAATCATGGCAAGTTACAAAGGTAATGAATCAGCCTCACTCCTATACATGGTTACAGTCATGAACAAATTACAAAGTAATGAACCACTTATACGTCCACACCTGGTCACAATTGTAATGAGTTATAAATACACATATTAAGTGGGTCATACATCCACACGAGCGCGCGCGCGCACAGACATATGCACACAAGCGTACAAATATATGCATACACACAAGCACGCACACCCCACACACGCACAACACCACACACACACACACACACACACACACACACACACACACACACACACACACACACACACACACACACACACACACACACACACACACACATACACCCACACACACAGAGTCGCTCATTTGCTCGAAATTACTAAACACCTCAAATGATGTAGTTGAAGTTTTGGCAGTAAAGACTGAAAACCAAAACCTTGCCATTGTGGTTGTAAACAAACCTCCTGATGCAACTTCCCAACAATTCTAGGAACAGCTTTTGAAAATGGACCACTGTCTGGAAAATCTTCCAACTCCTGCCCCAACTTAAGACACCTAAAATGAAGGAATGTAGCAAATAACGTTTTAGCAGAGATAACCCCAGGAGGCAGCTCAGATGAAAATTCACACACATGAGCTATTAAATATCTGCAACAAATTCATCTTAATCCACGAAATAGTTGAGCCAACATGACTGGAAAAATACACTTAACCTCATCTTCACTAATAATAATGATCTGATACGAAATATAACAGTATCAAAGAAATACACTCAGATCGTAAAATAATAGAAGTACAGAGATGTATGCGCAGAGCTCCTGACCAACATAAAGTGATCAGTTATGAGGGTCACTTCACCAAATTCAACTTCAGTAACAAAAGCACACACTGGGATCAAATCAGCCATGTCCTAAATAAAAAAAGCTGGAAAATATCTTAAACAACACGGATCCGAACCCTTGCCTAGAAAGAATTAACTCTGTGGCACTTGAGGTAAGTTTAAGGCACATTCCTTAAAGAAAAAAAGAAGAGATGTAAACTAGAGAGAGAGACTTCCTATATAGGTGAAGGCTGCTGAAATGGGCCAATATATCTGAAATACGAAAGAAGGCACTAGTCTGAAAAATAGCAAATATCGAAAGGAGGCACTGGAGTTTTACCTGGAGTTTACCTGGAGAGAGTTTCGGGGGTCAACGCCCCCGCGGCCCGGTCTGTGACCAGGCCTCCTGGTGGATCAGCGCCTGATCAACCAGGCTGTTGCTGCTGGCTGCACGCAAACCAACGTACGAGCCACAGCCCGGCTGATCAGGAACTGACTTTAGGTGCTTGTCCAGTGCCAGCTTGAAGACTGCCAGGGGTCTGTTGGTAATCCCCCTTATGTGTGCTGGGAGGCAGTTGAACAGTCTCGGGCCCCTGACACTTATTGTATGGTCTCTTAACGTGCTAGTGACACCCCTGCTTTTCATTGGGGGGATGGTGCATCGTCTGCCAAGTCTTTTGCTTTCGTAGTGAGTGATTTTCGTGTGCAAGTTCGTACTAGTCCCTCTAGATTTTCCAGGTGTAATAAATCATGTATCTCTCCCCCCCTGCGTTCCAGGGAATACAGGTTTTAGAACCTCAAGCGCTCCCAGTAATTGAGGTGTTTTATCTCCGTTATGCGCGCCGTGAAAGTTCTCTGTACATTTTCTAGGTCGGCAATTTCACCTGCCTTGAAAGGTGCTGTTAGAGTGCAGCATATTCCAGCCTAGATAGAACAAGTGACCTGAAGAGTGTCATCATGGCTTGGCCTCCCTAGTTTGAAGGTTCTCATTATCCATCCTGTCATTTTTCTAGCAGATGCGATTGATACAATGTTATGGTCCTTGAAGGTGAGATCCTCCGACATAATCACTCCAGGTCTTGACGTTGGTGTTTCGCTCTATTTTGTGGCCCAGAATTGTTTTGTACTCTGAGAAGATTTAATTTCCTCATGTTTTACCATATCTGAGTAATTGAAATTTCTCATCGTTGAACTTCATATTGTTTTCTGCAGCCCACTGAAAGATTTGGTTGATGTCCGCCTGGAGCCTTGCAGTGTCTGCAATGGAAGACACTGTCATGCAGATTCGGGTGTCATCTGCAAAGGAAGACACGGTGCTGTGGCTGACATCCTTGTCTATGTCGGATATGAGGATGAGGAACAAGATGGGAGCTAGTACTGTGCCTTGTGGAACAGAG